GCTCTGGTCTGCCCACCCCCACCCTCCCACCAAAGTCCAAACAAGGGTTGTCTGGGTCATGAAGTCGACCTTAGGGAACACAGAGGGGGTCTCCATAGCCTGACCCCGAGTTGCCAGCACGCTAGGAAGGCACTGGGTCCCCAGACTCAATTTATACTGGAGGCGGACAGGGTGAGGTTCAGTGCCCAAGGAGGGGCAGCCCAGGGAGAGGGGCAGTCCAGGCACTATGGAACCACGCTTCTGCGCTGTCACGTTTCAGAATGTTTATGGATAAGGACATGGGGGTTGGAGGGAGGGGCTCCTGTAGGGTCCTCGTTACATGTTGGCCTGCTCACGCTGCCACCGTGAGTTGTAGGCATGGGATACCATGTTCCAGGCATCCATGTAGCCTGGTGATGCACTTCTGCTCAGAATTATCCAAGGAGCCCCCAGGCTTTCCTGTATGCACTTCTGGAAGCACTTGTCCGTCATCCTCTGTAGCAACTCCTGCGCTTGGCGACGGCAATCTGGACTTTCACCTGCTCCATGATGACACCGGGGTCCAGTTTCCCAACCCCGGAGTTCCCGAAATCTGAGCCGAAGCCGCCCTCCATTGCTCTGCAAAGTCACCATTTGCTTTCTTAAGAGTCCTGGTGGCATGTGGGTTGTGGGCTGCTAACCATGTGGTCAGTAGTTCAAACCACTTGTCATTCCACAGGAGGGAGATGAAATTTTCTGCTTCTGTAAAGATTTATAACCTCAGAAACCCACAGGGGCACTTCTACTCTATTCTAGAGGGTCTCTGAGAGTCAAATGAGCTCGATGGCAGTGAGTTTGGGTTTTTTGTCTTGGACTCTCTAGACAATGATTTATCCTCTCCTACCCATCCCTGGTAACCACCAATCAGGGTTAATCGCTCTATATGTAATTATTCTTGTTTTTGTTTGCCTTTTGGTGAGTTATTTATTTCATTCATCATAATCTCGATTCATCTACTTCATACTTCTGTTGAAGACCTCATTTACACCTCTCGGAAGAATGCACTACAGAGGACAGCACTGAAGATACAGCCTGGGGAGACGGGCTGGTCTGCTCAGACCACACACAAGGAGCAAACTAAGAGGAAAGGGGAGAAAGAGAGAGAGAACCGAATTCTGGCCCACCAAGCCCCTGAGGGTGGTATTCCTGCTGGGAGCAGCCAATTCACAGAGAGGACTGTAGGGCCAGCCCCACCACAAGACAGAGCGTCCCCTCACTGACCCGTAGCACTAAGGGGGACAACACTGGAGACACAGTGTGGGCATTGTGCCCATCCGACCCGCCCACAACAGAGAGACACGAAGGGAGTGCAGCAGCAGCAAGGGCAGCAAAGCCGAAGTCCCGGAGGAACCCCAAAAATAGACTTTGGGGGTAGACGTGGCACTTCAGCAGACGTTATTGGAAAATGTTTATAAGGGTCAACAGATAGACCTGGAACTGTTTATAGGCTTTTGGGGGGATTTGTTTTTCATTTCTAAGATAGGCGGGATAAACAATCCTGAGGAGAAAACAGTGGGACTGACGGTTCCAGTGGGGAGGGGGAACATGGGAAGGGGGGAGGTAAGGGAAAGGAGGCGGGGAGCCAATAAAATCAGGGACAAGGGAACAGAACGTGGTCTAAAATAGATGTCAAGGAGGACATAGGATGTCTGATAGGGTTTGATCAAGTGCAGTGTAGCTGAGAGGAATGACAGAGCCAAATGAAGGTCTAACATGATAGTGGGACAGGAGGAAAGTAAAAGGAAATAGAAGAAAGAACTAGGAGGCAAAGGACATTTATAGAGGACTAAATACAGGCATTATATATAAGCAAACACATAACGATAGGATATAGGTCTATGTACATACATTTATATGTTAAGTAGTAAGGTAGCAGATGGACATTGGGCCTCTACTCAAGTACTCCTTCAGTGCAAGAACATTTTTGTTCTAATAACCTGGCATTCTATGATGCTGACCTTCCTGACAAGATCACTGAAGACAAAATGGGTACATAAGCAAATGTGGTGAAGAAAGCTGATGATATCCGGCTATCTAAAGATACAGTGTCTGGGGTCTTAAAGGCTTGTAGAGAAACAAGTGGCCATCTAGCTCAGAAGCAACAAAGCCCACATAGAAGAAGCACACCAGCCTGTGTGATAATGAGTTGTCGATGGGATCAGGCATCAAAGACCCAGAGCAAAAAATTGTGTCAATGTGAATGAGGAGGAGTGTGGAGTGGAGACCCAAAGACCAGAAGGGTCATAAGGAAGAGACGAGCCAGTCAGGGTGCAGTATAGCACTATTGTAACATACAGCTCTCCTCTAGTTCTTTAATGCTCACCCCCCACATTTTCATGACCCCAATTCTACCTTACAAATCCGACTAGACCAGAGGCTGTACACTGGTACAGATCAGAGTTGGAAGCACAGGGAATCCAGGACAGATAACCCCCTCAGGAACAATGATGGGAGAAGCAATACGATGAGAATAAGGGGAAGGTGAGGCAGTAGAGAGAAGGGGGAACCTATCACAATGATCAAAGTATAACTACCCACAACGCCCCCAGGGTGACAAACAACAGAAACCTGGGGTAAGGGAGACTACGGATGGTGTAAGATGAAAGTAATAGTTTATAATTTATCAAGAGTTCGGGGATAGAGGGTGAGAAATGAACTGATTACCAAGAGCTCAGATAGAAAAAATGTTTTGAAAAGGATGATGGCAACATAGGTACAAATGTGTTTGACACAATGGATGTATGGATTGTTTTAAGAGCCCCCAATAAGATGATTTTTTAAAAAACAACAAACTAATTTACACGTAGCGACCATAGGTGCCGCAGAGCAAATGCTGCCCAGTGCTTCGCCATCCCCACACGTATGTATGAGCTTATTATTGTAGCCGATGTGTCAGTTCATCTTATCGAGGGCTTTCTTTTTTGTTGTTGACCCTCTACTGTACCAGGCATAATGTGTTTTCCACGGACTGGTCTCTCCTTAAAACATGTCCAAAAGCAAATGAGATGAAGTCTTGTAATCCTTACTTCTAACGAGATTTCTGGCTCTACTTCTTTTCATTTTCCCCCCAACTGATTGTGAATTGGATGACGTGGATCATTAGTTCACATTCAACAATTTATATACCTTTTGTTGCACCGCAACCCATTTTAGCTTCCTCTATCATTTAGTACTTTGCCCATGGAATCTGTCAGAATTTCGACTGGAGACCTGAGTTTTGACTTAGTCATTTCAGCTTGAGAAACACCTTTCCCTTTGATTCTTGAACTCCATGTCATTGTAATACCATATATACTACAGTATAAGCCGACCCGAATATCCACCGAGACACATAATTTTACTACAAAAACTGCATTAAAAATGTGCTGAGAAACAGCTTATACTGGAGTATATACCGTACTTAGCTAGTTTCAGAGCCTCTTCTGACACCTAAATTTGGCCTTTTCATTTTTTCCTGTCTTTTTAATGAGTTTTGTTTTCTTCATGTATTAATTATGTTCTTGATGTCATAGGAGCCCTGGTGGCATGGCCAAGGTCAGCAGTTTGAAACCACCAGCCGCTCCAAAGGAGAGAGGTGGGGCTTTCGACTCCTGTAAAGGATTGCAATCTCGGAACCCCACAGGGGCAGTTCTACACTGTCATACAGGGCTGCTATGATTTAGAATTGACTCAATGGCAGTGAAGGTTTTTCTTTGCTTCTGTCATCCCACAGCTCTTCGGTTATTAGTGTTAGTTGTGTCGATTCTATTCTTGAAATGGTCTGTGCTTTCAGGTGGGATATACTCAAGAATATTTTGGCTGTTAAGGAGCTGTTTTAATTTCCTTCAGCTTCAACTTGAACTTGCGTATGCATTGTCGATCATCTGTTCCACAGCACCCCCTAGTCGTGTTCTGACCACATTTATTGATCTTCTCCATGCTCTCTTTCCACAGATATTGTCCGTTTGTTTCCTGTGCATTTCATCTGACAAAGGCACACATGCATAGTCACCATTTACATTGTGGAAATGTATTTGCAGTGAAGAAGTCACTGGTCTTGCAAATTTCTGTCATGCAATCTGGTGTCATTTCTAGCACCAAAGGCATGCTTCCCAGCTGCACATCCTTCTATGCCTCCAGCATTTGCTTTCCACTTACCAGTAATCATCAATGCATGTTGATTATATTTCGATCCATTGCAGACTGCAGAAGTTGGTAGTGATCTTCAGTTTCATCATCTTTGTTTGGCTTTGGTAGTTGATGCCTAGATTGAAATAATGGTTACATTAATGGTCTTCTGGTAGGTGTATGGATATTATCACTGACAGCATTGTGTTTCTGGATAGAGATCTTGGGGGGAATTTTTTTTTTTTTTGACACTAAATATAACCCCATTCCTTTTCAACTTGTCATGCCTAGCATAAAAAACATGTGACTGTCTGATTCAAAATTGCCAGTACCAGCCCATTTCAGCTCAGTAATGACTAGAATATTGATCTTATACAGACCATTTTTGATAACATACAATTTTTCTAAATCCCTAGTGTCATAACAGGTTATAATTGGGCTGCAAATTGCAAGGTCAGCACTTTCAAACCACCAGCCACTCCTTGGGAGAAAGATGAGGCTATCTGTTCCTATAAAGTTACAGTCTTATATATGCTTGATACAATTGATGTATGGATTATTATAAGAGCTATAAGAGCCCCCAATAAAATGATCTTTAAATTAAAAAATAAAAAGTTACACTCTTAGACACCCACAGAGGCAGTGCTGCCCTATCCAATAGAGTGGCAATGAGTCGGAACCAAATAAGCATTTGGCTAGATACCTTATTTCTGCTAAAGTGGGGAATATCTCCAGAATGCCTTTTGAATGCGCAAGTTATTAAAATTATAAGCTTACTGAAACTGAAAATTAATAGAGATATTTACTGTATATGCTATTTTGAATGGTATGCTTTACAGGTCTAATTATCATCCATGGTGTTTAATCTATTTTAGAAACTGGATGGCTTCTACAGGGAGCCAGGCCTCTGATATAGACGAAATTTTAGGATTCTTCAGTGATGGCGCACCCCCTACCAAAAAGCCCAGGTAAACGGGGGAAGGGAATCTGAGGGACATAGTAAATTAGCATGAATGTTAGATACAGAAAAATAACATGCTCTCCATCCCAATTACTTTCACTTACTAATATTGACCTTTACTTCAGATATTAAATTGTTCTTAGATTTCATTTTTATATTTCACCAAAGTGACAAAGGTGCATAATTCTAAATCAGTGCTTCGAGACTCAGAACGCCTCCTCAGCCTCCTCTGAGTGTATCACCTTTAACTTGTCCATCTGGTGGTTTTTGCCTCTGTGCTGCTACATTTTAGCTTTTTGATTTATTGACTCCAAGTCTTAATCAAAATTAGAACTCAAATCTAGACAAGAACTCAAATCTAGACACATGTAGGGCAAGAAATTCCAAGAATGGAGCAATATAAAGTGAATGTGCTTTATCCCTCCAGCTGCACTTCCCAGAGGGAGCCTCCATTTGCCGTGCTTATGCGGCTTTCTAGAAGAAACCTTTTGTTTCGTATACCGTCCTGGTTTGTTGAACGACTGCAGGCATTGAAGAGTGGGAAGCTGATTCTAGGCATGTACCCCAAACCAGTTCCCCCTGATCCAAAGTTAGCACATTTACAAAATCATGCCAACATGCTGATGTCAATTGTATTTGTCTTATCATTTGGACATAAGATTGGGGAAGGCAATTTCCTCTCTAAAAGCATACCGTCAGCGGTAATTAAAATAAAGAAACAGTTCAAACAGGGACTTTACTATAACCTCCAGGTGGGGGGTGGACAGACCCCAAAACGCACAAAAATGTAAAGCATTCAATCTCACATGAATGCTTTGGGACAGAAGTTTGTCTATACTGACACACATGGTGTGAGAACAGTGTTTTCACTTTTTTATTGGAGCCTTAAATAGATTTTTGTTTTTGTTGTTTATTTAGGGTCCTGTGTTTTCAGAATTCCGATGACCCCTTTATGTTCCTTTGTCAGAGGACACGAAGGACCCAAGGGTCGAATTCCCATATTGACTATTTCTGGATCATTTTTATTGTGTTCATACAATTCGGTTTAAAATTTTGAATGCTATTTTATACTTTACATTTACATGTCTCATGATGCTCTTTTTCTCTCTTTCTAGAATACATATCATACATACTTCTTTGAAATTTAATATCAGTTCAAAATTTACTTGTCAGAACTGTGAGCTGTATTATAGTTGAATCTTTTTCAAGTATCAGTAGGTTTTCTTAGTTTGGGAGGAATATAAAGGAAAGCATTGATTTTGGGATTACCGTTCAGGATTCCAAAATCAGTTTACTTTTATCAAGCACTAGCGCAGCAATCTTCTCTTCTGCTTCAGCTCATTTGGAGAAGTGCCAGGAACTGACCCTTGCCATTTCTGTGACTCTGAAAGCTGTAGCAGAACTCCTGACGTCAGTCAGAGTGTCTTTCCACTGACATCATATATGTCGGGCAGCCTCACTTTCTTGCTCATTTAACTGTTTCAGGAAACTGCTTCCAAGCTTGAAGACTAAGAACCCTCGGGAACTTGTGCTGGTGATTGGAACAGGCATCAGCGCTGCGGTTGCCCCCCAAGTTCCAGCCCTGAAATCCTGGAAGGGGCTAATCCAGGCCTTACTGGATGCCGCCATTGATTTTGATCTTCTGGAAGATGAGGAGAGCAGAAAATTCCAGAAGTGTCTCCATGAAGACAAGAACCTTATCCATGTTGCCCATGACCTCATCCAGAAACTCTCTCCTGTGAGTAGCCCTCGGTGTGCCTTGCCATTTGACATTGCTTAACATCACGACTCGCATGCTGAATGTAACAGCGCTGTTCATTCCTAGACTGTGGCTTTGCATCACATTTGACTCGTAGGCAAAGTATCTGTTTAGGAAACCTACTTTTTCCCTACTTCTGAACCGATTTCTGTGTGTGTGTGTGTGTGTGTGTGTGTGTGTGTGTGTGTGTGAGAGAGAGAGAGAGAGAGAGAGAGAGAGAGAGAGAGAAGAAATGTTGATGTCTTTATATGTATAAAAATGAGACTATTGGCCTATTATTTTTGTACTCGGAGTTATTTTTGTTGCTGATAATTAAGTTGCATTTACTTTGTACGTACTGTTATAAAAGCTTTGTCTCTAACAACTATCACTTTTAGGGAACCTCAGAAGATTGAGATATTCCTACTATTTTATGAATTAAACAGACCAGTTTTTAATGTATTTTTTTTGCTCCTCTAGAATTTTTTTTAAATTAAATCATTTTATTGGGGGCTTGTACAACTCTTTATCACAATCCATACATATTAATGTCTTTTTAAAATGAAAATATTTTACTTTGTTTTTTGTGAAAGTTCGCATGACAAATTAGGTTCCCACTCAGGAATTTCTATACCACCATTTATTCAGTGACTTTGGTTACATTTTCATTGTTTCCATTCTGGTTGTTCCATTTCCAGTCATCTACTTTCCCTTCCTCTTTGTCAGATACTTGCTCTTGAATATCTAGTCTCATATCGATGATTTTTTTTAAAGGAGCACCGAGCTCACAAATGGTATTATTTGATGAGTCACTTTGATGTTTAGCTAAGAAGTGACCCTAGGAAATAGTTTGGGTTTCTAGTTTTAAAGCGTATCTCAGTGATAAGCTCAGAGAGTCCTCTGATCACAAAGTCTAGTAAATCTGGGCTTTTAAAGAACTTGACTTCTGTCTCTGAAAAGGCAAGTGTGTTTCTCTTGGAAGACGGGGAGAGGACCAAACTCCTAATGCAAAAACAAAAAAACGCTTAACAGCACTTACATGGAACCAAAGGGGAGAACATGCCTGGTGCTATCTTCCTCGTTGGGCATATTAGACCTGGTTTCTATTCAGACCCTGATGACCCAGGCCATGTGCTATATACACTGATGGTACTTTGTACTTTAGACACTGTGTTTTTGAGGTGTACAACATCCTTCATAGGCCACACCAGTACACAATGTGGAAATCCCAGTAGGTGAACTGGGCTCTACTTCAAACTCACCTGTAGCTTTTGAACTTAAGGCTGAAACCGCGTGCTCTGAGAAGAAACAGACTGGACTAAGGGTGTAGAACTGGCAGTGATCAGACTGCCATCGACCTAGCACGTCAGTGCTCTTCTTGTTTGATTAGGATACGTCGTAATCTGGCAGGCCTGCTTCTGCTACTATCAACGAAGGTTATTGAAAGGTTTGTCTTACCGCCAACCCCCATGATTTGTGTAAACAGTATCCAGCCACTTCAAGATTTAATCTGTAAAAGTCAATAGTTCCTGTATTGCAGTTTATAACTAGCCTATGCTTGTATAATCTTCTCTTCTCGCCTGTGTTTTAAATCCTTTACCATTGACTGAATTAATGACACAATCAACAGAATGATCTTATCCAGGGAGATGATTAATAATGCTTAACATGAAAGGATAATGATGTCTCAAAGGTGAAACAGGCATATATAAACCATGGATACATGAATGGATTTGGGGCTTGCACTTCGTTTTAGCCTCAATCTAAGAACAGTTAGTAATTAGTTCTTAAGAAATGGCCCTGCTTGATACATACCTTCATGAAGAGATCACTGAAGATACGGGTGCTATAGCAAAATGTGGTGATGTAACTTCATGGTGCCTTTCTAACAGAAAGAATAGTGGTCTGGGGTCTTAAAGTTTCTAATCAAGCAAACAGCATCTAAGGGAGGTGTGAACTAAGTCCAAATGAAAGAAGCATACCAATCTGTGGGACCCAAGGATTATAAGTAATATAGTTCAAATCGGAAGGAGAGCATATCAGAGTTGAAATTGTAAACTCCTGATTTACAGAGGGCTTTGGATGACAGTGGAAGTCCAAAATATGTGCAGGATCTACACAGAGATTAAATCTCCAGTGATTTCCTTCTGACCATAGTTGAGGGATGGGAACAGTCTGGTCATCAGACAGAAACTATCATAGAGAGGATTTATAGTAGACTACAATGTAACATCTGATTTGAATGGTTAAAATGTAGCATCTGCTGCGATCCCCTTTTTGGCACATCTAGAAATTCTAGCAGTTTAAAAAAAAAAAAAACGTGAAGGGGAAATGCACGTGAATGAAGCCTCTGGGGAGTCCCCATTGACCGTCGACCAGGGACGCGAACCGCCTTGCTGTCAGAAGAGTGCCTTGGAAAGCGGAAAATGACAGATATGACTAGGTTTAAATCTAACACCTGATCATTAGATCTCCCATTTGACTCATTTTATTGTTGCTCTGGTTTCCTTCCCTAAATAATGTTGTTATTGTTAGCTTTCTTGACTCTTTGTTTTGTATTTTTATGTATTTTCCACTGTATGAACTCCAGGATGGGTGAGTCTACAGACACAGTAACTGGATTAATGGCTCTTGGGGACATGACAAGGGGAGGTTGAGGGGAACTGGGAAGCGAGTAACCAGGAATACAAGAAAAAAGAAAATGTTCTAAAATTGTTTATACCCTTCTTGATATCATATGACGATTTGTATGATATTTGTGTGATGTCCCAATAAAACAGTTTATTAAACAAATGAAAAGTAAAAGAAACCCACAGGGGCTGTTCTACTCTGTCCCATAGGGCCGCTATGAGTTGTGATTGACTTGCTGGCAGTGATGGAGATTGTAAAAGAATGAGCCTGCTGATTATCAAAATACTAGAAACATAAGTTAACATTGTTGTTATTGTTAGAAACCCAAACTATAACAGCCTTACAGTAAGAATTCCTTTTAAGCTTAAACAATAAGACTGTTTCCAGTTCCTCCTTCACTTAGGAAAGCAGTGAGTGGCACATGAAGGCCTCAGCGGATGGAGTGCTGGTAACCCTGGGAGAAATGTGGGTATTAATTACCTCCTGTGAATATTGCTAAACTTGCTTTTTTGTCATATTGTTCGGGGTATCACTTGGTTCCTGGGATCATTGTAAACCTGTTTGTGTGTGTGTGGTTTTTTTTGTCACATATTTTAGGGAATATAACTTGCTTGGTTTTCACTGGAAATTTTTTTTTATTTAAATAATCATTTTACTAGGGGCTCATACAACTCATCACAACCTGTACATACGTCATCTGTGTCCAGCACTTTAGTACATATGTTGACTTCATCATTCTTACGACACCCACTTTCCACTTGAGCCCCTGATCACTGGAATTTTGTAAGCAGTTTGTAGGTGAACGAAACCCACCGTTTCCTTCTGTCTTGTGTTTGCCGAAACAAACTGAAAAGTTACTTAAACCAAAAGAAAAAAGAATTTGAGTTCTTTTCTGTGTTTTGCTGCCATCTTATTAAGAATTACCTACAAGAGGGCTTCAACCGATTCTTGGGAAAATGGAAGTAAAACATATTGTGAAACCGTCAAGGCTTTGGCCTGTAGTCACCCTTCAGATCTGAACACAAGCTCATCCCAGAGCTCAATTTTGAGTCAAACAATAAGCAGCTCTGCAAGGGAAATAATGACTTGCTTTAGCAAAATGACTCTTCTGAGATCTAAAGGGCAGCATTGACCCAAGGACGACGTTCGTTCAGAAAGGTTCGGGAAAAGGAGCAGACAGAGGGAAACTGATCAGCTCTGTAAGCCCTTCACCCAATTCACAAAAAAAGGGTTTTTTTTGTTTAACTTTTCATTGTGCATTAGGTGGGAGTTTACATTATGATCATCATTTTTGTATTCAGCAATTTAAACAACTTAGCAAAATCCCAGTGGCTTTCCCCATTTTCCCCTCACACACCTGGTTTTGTTCTCCCTCCTGTGGAATATTATCCTCACCTTCACCCTAGTAAACACCGGTCCCACCATTAGCCCATTGCTCCCTTCCCTGTCGTTCCTTTCTCTCTCGTCCCAATAATAGTCAATCATTTTTTGGTGTGAAAAACCTTCATCTTAATTTTTTTTTTATGACAATGGTTCCATGATATTTGTGGGGGGTTTTAATCATTTTATTGGGGCTCATAAACCTCTTATCACAATCTATACATGTATCCATTGTGTCAAGCAAATTTGTACATATATTGCCATCATTTTCAAAACATTTTCTTTCTACTTGAATCCTTGGTATCAGCCCCTCACTTTTTCCCCTCCCTCGCCACCCTCCCTCCTTCATGAACCCTTGATAATGTATAAGTTGTTATTATTTTTTCATGTCTTACACTGACCAATGTCTCCCATCACTCACTTTTCTGTTGTCCATCTCCCTGGGAGGGGGTTATAAGTAAATCATTGTGATCAGTTTCCCCTTTCTGCCCCCACCTTCTCCTACCCCTCCTGGTATCGCTACTCATTATTGGTCCTGAGGCGTTTATCTGCTCTGGATTTGTTGTACATGAACCGAACAAGAACAACTCCGTTTTTGGTAAGGAGGAAAACAGTTTATTAAAGGGGGACAGAGAAAAGAACCTGCGCAGGGACCAGCCAGGCTCAGATAAAATGAGGCCATCAGCTGGTCCCGTGTGCTTGCAGACTTAGGCTTTTATAGGGTTTCATCAAACAGTTGAGCTGTGTAGCTGTGCAAGCAAGCTGGCATAGAAGCAGACTTTGCGGTTAGGCGGTTTAGCACAATTTCCTGGCACAGGAGAGTCTGTTGCCAGTTCTAAGAACGAGGGGGCTATTTGGTTTTGCTGAGGATGCTACAAGGCCTGTGGTTGCACCTTAGGTCTGGTACAGAATGGTTGCTTAATATAAAATGGCTTTACTTAAGCTAACTATTACATTTTCCCTGTATTTTTAGCTCTTATTTGTACCCA